CTTATAAAAATAATGGCCTCAAGTTCTTTGTTCTTCACTATTCATGGTAATGATCTGTCTTTATTCCTAGAAATGATATTGAATGTATTCTGATGCCAGCAATCATGTATAAATGCTGTGGATAATTTGGCTCCTGAATAATAAGGACCCATCTTCAGGCACCGTTAGTTCAGGAACGTTGGGAGGAATTTTGAGTTCTTACGTGAAGGCTGAGCATGGACAACCATGCCCTCACTATTAACTATGAGGATATGGACCACCCACTCAGAGGCATCTGAGGAGTTTCTGAGTCAGTGTCATCTACCAGTTGTCATCGATTCAGAGAAACCATTCAGAAAAGTGGTTGGGGTGAATTCTTACCGTTCCTAAATTCGGGGACTATAAAGGACAAAATCATCTACTTGGGGCATTTCCTGTGAAAATTTTAAAACAGCCTATTGACAGAAAAGATGAATGTAATCAACCTAAAAATAAGTCATTGGATTGTAACTGAAAAGTTAAATAATTTGGCACTTAAGAATACTAATCCTACCACTGTCAGGGAGAGAGAGAGACAGAGAGAGAGAGAGAGAGAGAGACACGCATTGACCACTCAGTAGTTTATCCAGAAAGAATGGTACACATGATCCATTCCAAAGTAAAGTCAGGTTAAAATCTGGTGCATAGCCTCAACATGCATCATTTTTATTCTTGTGTCTAAACTGTGTCTCTAAAAAATCTAACACCCTTCAATGTTTTCCTACCACTTAGACTGTGTTTCCTTTCTTCTAAAGAATATATGAGCTGTGAATAGGTCAATTTCAAAATAACTCTAGCAATTATTGGATTAAAATTATTCTATGGAAAATCTTTTGGGCAACTTCTCACATTAGCTGAGCTAAAACTTCGTCCTATAGTTTTATAGATGGTCTTGGTGCTTGAATTCGAGTCTACAAAAATAAAATGATTTACACAGAATTCTTGGCCAAACTTGAGGAAAGGATTTTGGCTCTGCTTCTCTTCAGAATGGGATGCCTGATAAACAAAAGAACTCAAGCAGAATTATAAGATTATGAGCACAAAATCATGTTAGTGCCTATGCATGAACAATCAAACATCTTCTTAGGACCCTCATTCAAAAGTTAAATTACCGAATCTATTGTCATATGCCTGTTGGGGATAAAGACTGTTCTGATCCATAAGAAAAAAATGGATGTCAGATAATCAAAAGAAATGCAAGCTGAATTAAAAGGCTACAGACACAGAGTCACATTGTTACCCATGCATGAACAACAAACCCAATCTATTGCCAGATGCATGTTGGAAATGAAAGTTGATCTGACTTATACAAAAACAAATAGATCGCTATATACAAATTAGTATATATATAAAGTTGCTTTTTATATAAGACTTGGCAAGAACTGAACTTAAGTAAATACAGCTCCACACCACCTGTGGAAAATCATTTTGACACTAATGCACAGAGAGTTCTTTGCTCTGTGGATTATTTGCTGAGGGTTCAAGGTAGTCTGCATTTTATCATCGGTTTTCATTGTCTTGGCCCTTGTTCCATCCAATTTAGGAGAATACTTGAAATACTCTCTCTTCTAGTAGCACGCAAACACTCTAGGAATTTGATGCTTTCCTGAATAATCTATGCTTGTTCTGTAAGTACAGTCTAAGACACTTTTCCAGAACAGAACAAAAGAGATTAGATTCGTTTTAGTTTAAACTGTCTAAAGAGAGTTCTCAGTTGTGGATTTGTTAATGGCTTTAGTACAAATAATGGAAATAGAATCGTGCATTTTTATTAGTCATCCAAGAAGCCTTTTGGTTTCAGGTTCTTCTGGAAAGCTCAATCACCCTGGCTCTTCTTTTAACAACTTGGAAAATGTCTTGCCTGATTAGGAAGTTAGTCATTTCACATTATGACATCTAAAACAACGAGAAGCTTAAAAACCTCACAAATTACATTTATTAGTAACAGGATACATCACTTTAAAGATGAAAAGCTCAAGGATCTGTGGCGCCTTTCTTTGTTCCTGTTAATTTTATTTTCCTTTCTGAGTGGCGGATGTTTTGTAAAGATCAGCATTTGAATTCAAACAACAAATGCTGACGATTAGTTCTCTATATAAAAACATTACAATTTTGTATTGATGGGTTCTATATGAGCATTGACCTTCCTTCTGTTTGCTGTTTTCTTTAACAATCCGTATTGTTCCAAGGCAAACACATTCTTTGTCATTCAGCTTTAAAACTTAGGAAAGTTTTAAACAAACCGTGTTCTGAAAAGGAGTGCTAACGTAGAATTTGGGAAATGTTCTTCCAGTCCCCATTTTCTGGAGACTGTTTATTCCTTCTTGTTTTAGCAGTTGCCTTGGACTTGGTCACAGACATCCCCTGAGGTTTTTCTTTTCCATTTACTTTACCCATTTAAGGTTAACATATTAAGAGTTTTGCTACCGAGAGATTAAAATAAATATGTTTGATGGAGCTTTCTCAAGGCTCCTGGACTGACCACGGCCTTCTTCCCTGACTTCACTGGCATTTCTTCAATACAGGCCATGTTAAGCCTACCAAGTAGAGTTCCTCTACAAAGCTGCCACATTTTTCTGTGTATTCGGGGGAGGGGGGAAGCATGTGCCTCTTATTTGTATGCACTGAAAAAGCAGAGATAAAATTCATTCTAATAAAGTTTCCCTCGTTCAGTTTTGAAAGTCAGTTGGCCTTTGGGATGCCTGGGTGGCTCAGCTGGTTAAGCTTCTGCCTTTGGCTCATGATTCTAGGATCCTGGGATCAAGTCCCGCATCAGGCTCCTTGCCCAGTGATGCGCCTGCTTCTCCCTCTCCCTGCTGCTCCCCCTGCTTGTGCTCTCTCTCTCTCTCTCTCTGACAAATAAAATCTTTAAAAAGAAAAAAAAAAGGAAAGTCAATTGGCCTGTGAAATTTTACTGTAAAATTCACCATAACATTTAATAATTCAGTATTAGAGATGGCAGCTTTCGGGCAAGAATGTGACACTCAACACAATCAGATGACACAAAAACACTACATAACAAGGCTATCATCTGTATTGTTTTCAGCTTATAGCTCTAAAAAATAAATTGGAGTGACTGTCATTACTGTGATTTTATCCATTCTCTATCTTCGCTGCTTTATATTGATTGAATACCAAGGTGTTAGAAAGTTAATCTAGTCATTAAAAATAAATCCTTTCCCTTTTGGTTCATAATTGTGTCTCCTGTCATTTAAGAGTTTTTTTTCCCCATGCTATTATATTTTGCCATTTCTCACGGACCCTGGGAGAGAAGATAGGTATCGTTGTACTTAGCGGGTGTTCACATTTTTTTTTTTAAAGATTTTATTTTATTTTTTGACAGAGAAACAGTGAGAGAGGGAACACAAGCAGGGGGAGTGAGAGAGGGAGAGGCAGGCTTCCCGCCGAGCAGGGACCCTGATGCGGGGCTCGATCCCAGGAACCCAGGATCATGACCTGAGCCGAAGGCAGACGCTTAACGACTGAGCCACCCAGGCGCCCCGCAGGTGTTCACATTTTATCATTATAATGTCACAGTAGTGATAAGCAAAACCGGGCTTTCTATAAGAGGTGAACTTCGATGGCCATATTGAAAGGAAGTGATGGATAATGAATAAAGCCGACCACGTGAGGACAGGAGAAATGGTCAGAAAGGAAGAGAGGGTAAGAACCCTGACGAAGATAGCTCGTTTGGTGCTCTTTCTAGAGACTGAAGAGAAATATATTTACCAAAAGTCCTTCTTGGCAGATCATGACAGATTTTTTCATTTCAACCTTATCCCCACTTAATCATAATGTATAAATATTTTAAATTATCCAGACGTTAGAGTGCTAATGTACATGGAAACGGAAAGCGTGGGGCCAGAGAAATTCATGTTCGTCTAACCACGGGTCCTAATCAGGAGCAAAGGCAGAATGGCTGGGGTTAAACATTTCTTTCAGAGCTCTCCATCTTAAAAGAATTGCTTCTTCCTATGACAGCATGTCATTCCCCTTTGGTCTCAGTGTGTGGATAAGTAAGAAACTCTAAAAATGGGCTAAGACAATATGCCAGGGAAAGAACTAAGTCATCTCACATATCAGAAAATAATACACAATATCTTAAATTTTTTCCTACAGCAAGCAACATTCCACCAACCATTTCTAATGAATTAATCTCAATTGTTATACATCAAACTCTTCATTGGGAAAAAACACAGTATCTAATGCTGAAACAGAAATCGGTTTTGTAATAACTATTTATTTCCTGCGTCTTAAGAAAAAAATAGGTGAATCTCCTCTTCCTTGACTGTTTGTTCAAAATATATGTTCAATACATTGACCTAGTAATACATTGAATACTGTAAGGGCATGATCTCAAATAAAATAAATTAAATGATGCAATAAATTGAATAATATAAGGTAATGACTTCAAAGTACGAGGGTACCTTCCAAAAGAGGACACTTACCAACCAGGTGACCCCTTCAGGCTTAGAAAACAAAAGCTGTTAGTATAAATGTGAAAAAAATTTAATTTTTCACAAAATTCCTCTCGATTTTCATCCATGAATGGTCACCATTAAACAAAAACCTAAGTTATGTTTATGATCAAGAACCAATAATGAGGGGCACCTGGGTGGCCCAGTCGTTAAGCGTCTGCCTTCAGCTCAGGTCATGATCCCATGAGCCCCGCATTGGGCTCCCTGCTCAGCAGGAAGCCTGCTTCTCCCTCTCCCACTCCCCCTGCTTGTGTTCCCTCTCTCGCTGTGTCTCTCTCTGTCAAATAAATAAAAAGTCTGAAAAAAAAAAGAACCAATAATGACTGAAGTTTAACTTGAATACAATTATAAACTCTGCCCACCTTATTAAACCCTGATTTAAAATAAGACAATGATAATGTGATATTAACGCACAAGTACACTAAAAACAAATCAAAAACACTCTTTCCTGATATATAGTTCCACACGCAGTGAACAAATTAATGCATCATTTTTTTTCTACAGGAAAACTGAAGACTTTAATAGCAAACCCTCCAAGGTCAGAATGAATACAGGTATGCTGTCTCTGTTAGTTTTAAACTCTTGAGCTTTGCTCTTTAAAAATCATCTTGGCCCCAAATCATTAAGTTTAGTACTCTGCTGATCTGATTAGTCTAAATTCATTACCTGATTTCTTTTTTTTCTTTTTCTTTTTCTTTTTGTGCTCCAATCCTATGGCTATCAAATGTAGAATTTTCTGTTTTGCTATCTACTTTTACTCCCTTTTCTATAACCGTATCTTGAAATTAATTCCTATAAGCCCTAGGAAAAGGTAGCATGTCATTTAATGCATACATTTGAAATTTCTCACTTAAAATAGGATAAATTCATAGGCAAATTGCTCTAGCAGAAAATATTTAAAATTTCCTTTTCTATAAACATTTTATGTTAACAATGTTAGCAGACAGAGTGCCAAAGCTTCATAGGAGATCAGCTTAATTAATCTAGACACTATACACATAAAGGGGTAAGCATTGTATTTTTAGAATGAGAACAGTATCTCCAACTAGCTTTAACAACATTGAGGTCTCTGAACTCTGTATTACATACAGATTAATTGTAACAGTGTTTGTGACACATGCTAGGTACATACGAATTTTTTTTCCACAGTAGAAATATTTTAACTTATATTTTCAGCTTCCCCCCCCCCGGTAATTGTTATATTCTCTAATAAGTAATTCTGTAAAACAACTTTCTCACAGAAATTCTCTAACCTGTGTTCTAAAAATACTATTTCCTATCCACAAGTGATGTCTGGAAAGTTGTTTTAGCCAGTTACTCCATGGAGAAGTAGAAAGGGTAGTCCAAGATATTTTTTCACATCAAGCTGCTTGCCTTTTTGCTGTCTCTTGTTGTTAGCAAAATGCCCCAAGGGAGGATTAACAATCATTGGTGAGAGCCAATATATCTAATCCCTAGATCAAGTGTGGAGACATGGTCACTTGTCTTTGTCCATGATTCTGTGGCTGCCCCTTAGCAGAGACCTCAGAGAACCATGGGTCAGCTGGCCCCCAAAGATGCAGTTAGAAATGTGGAGAGCAGGGGCGCCTGGGTGGCTCAGTCGGTTAAGTGTCTGCCTTCCGCTCAGGTCATGATCCCGGGGTCCTGGGATCAAGCCCCGCATCGGGCTCCTTCCTCAGGGGGGAGCCTGCCTCTCCCTCTGCTTGTGCTCTCTCTCTCTCTCTGTCAAATAGATAAATAAAATCTTTAAAAAAATATCAAAAATAAATGTGTAGAGCAACAGGCAAGATGAGGATATTGGACATAGTAAAATATATAATAAGAAAGGCTTAGAAATCAAGAGAAATGATAACCCTAGAAATGGACCAAGTAAAGGCATTTGGACAATTGGAAATGTGGCAGGTAGACACAGGAAATGAAAGCAGAAATACTATTAGGCAAAGGGATTGAAGAAAGCGAAAAGAATAGAGAGAACACAGCTGAACAGCAGAAGTCATGGTGTGAACATCACTCCAGCAGAATGTCCACAGGAGGAAGTTAATAGTCACTGATTGTTCTCAGGCATCTTCCCACAGATTTATGTTGGAGCTAACTTCCCAGTATCCTTCATTTTGTGGAGTGCTGATTTGCCTTTGTATTATAATGCTGTTAATGACAGAGGGATAATATGTGATTACACTAAATATGCCATATTCATTACAATGCATTCAATAATTAATCTTCCTTGTCATAGAATGCAAGCCCTAAAAGCAAAGTAGACAAAGAGAAATTTGTACATTCGCTTAGGTCTTTGGGGTACTTGAGCCAAGTTACTGCTCCAGCAGCATGAATGTAACTCTCCAAAGTATGCTCTCATTTAAAAGGAGTGAGCTCAGCTCTATATGGAATGCTAATTTGCATAGTTATTTTCCTTTCTGGGTGAATTTATACACATATATGCATATAAAATATAATATTCAAACATATGCATACCAAGTTGATTAGAAGTGACTGGAAACTTTTGTTTAAAATTCCAAAGTAATACTATAATGTTGCTATAAAAACATACCACCTTAAAATATATATATGTATAAATATTGCTATAGGAAATTGAAGAAAGCAATGTTGCTATATCTACAAAATGAAGTAGAGATTCGTTCCTAAATTTCTGTACATAAAACTGGTCTTCATTATCTACCTATCAATCATTAAAAAGATATATTATTATTTCAATGTCGATGTGTCATCACTAGAGCTTTTGAAAAAAATACTATTTTAAGTTAGCTTTTTCATTTTTAGTTGAATACATTATAAAAGAGCCAAAGAAATGGGATTCATTTTTCATACAAATGTATCTAAACAATCTATAGAAATATGCAAAACATGCTATATTTCCACTCTTAGAACTTGTGGACCATTATTTTCTAAGGAAAATCTTAGCTATTAAAGAAAGGAAGGAGGTGAGCGCTGTGAATTGAGTAAGACTGTTGAATCACAGACCTGTACCTCTGAAACAAATAATACATTATATGTTTAAGAAGAAGAAGAAGAAGAAGATAGTAGGAAGGGAAAAATGAAGGGGGGCAAGTCAGAGGGGGAGACGAACCATGAGAGACGATGGACTCTGAGAAACAAACTGAGGGTTCTAGAGGGGAGGGGGTGGGGGGATGGGTTAGCCTGGTGATGGGTATTAAGGAGGGCACGTACTGCATGGAGCACTGGGTGTTATACGCAAACAATCATGGAACACTACATCAAAAACTAATGATGTAATGTATGGTGATTAACATAACATAATAAAATAAAATTTAAAAAAAAGAAAGGAAGGAGAGAAAGGCATCAAATAATGCATAGTGTGTGATTTACCCATGAGTGTTTCCCAGCAGTTGGAAACAGCTCCTAGGAGGCCTACAGCAGGATGCAAAAGTATGCCACTTTGCAGGCCATGAATGAGTGTGAAGGTGAGAACAGCATCAGGATTCTTTAGGATGACCTCAAGTGTGCAAGACAGTATCCTCATTTTGAGATCTTAAAAAAATACCTTCAAGGAAAAACAGACAGTATCAACACATAAGCAAGTAGAAACAGAAGAGAATAGATTTTTCTCTTCTAGCAATTTCACAAACGTCTCAACTTTTCAAGGGGAGCTCTGTACTAAACTGTTAATAAAAACTGACTCTCCATTCATTTTATGTAGGTCTTAGAACAGCTTAGAATACAGAAATTGTTTAACGCAGAGGTTCCTACCCTTTCTTGTTTTACAGTGCCAAGATATCTTAGAATCAAGCCAAAAGAAATACCTAACAGTTCTATTTATTAAGTAGTAGGTGTGGACAACTTAATAAGTACTTATGTTCTACCAACTGAGAAGCAATTTGAAAAAAATAATATACTTTAATAAAAAAAACCATTTTATTTTATTCTTTATAACCATAGTTACTTACTAACAGGATATGTGTGCCTGTTGGACACGCCAAAACTTCTCAGATCATGGAATTTGAGCATACATGGCTGCTCTCGTCTACTGGTCCAAAATTATTTTCTTTGCCACAGTGATCACCAAAACTCAGCTTTTCAAAGATGCGATATCATGTAAAGGAAGACAGCCCAATCTATTACGTTGAAAATGGGAAGTGGCTCAGGCTAGTAGTTCATGCAGTTTCTGATAGGTATCACTGTGTTCTCCTCAAGGACATTAAATACCCTCCCAAACCCTTGGGAACCTCCCGATGGGGCCCACAGTGCCTCAGCACACAGTTTTGGAACCATGTGTTTAACCGGTGACTCTGAATCTCCTCATTGTGAAATTTTTCTTTCTCATTCCTGCTGGTTTTCAGATGTTCAGAGTTCAAAGAACTAGAAAATAAAATTTCTTAGAGGTCACTTTCCACTTTCAACACCCTTAACCACACAGTCTTTTTAGACCATTGATAGCTGCTATACACCACATATTCACTAACATCACCTCTATTTTATCTGAAACACTCCCCATCTTGTAGCTATTTTTTTTTTTGCAGTTTGCTAAAATCCTATTCGTGCATCTCTTAAAGATATCTTTAGTATTGTATGCTTCTACCATTTGTGTCTTTCTACGTTTGATCTTGATTTATTTGAATTCACGTCTGTTACTTCAAATCATTTTTCTGTATTAGTTATTGTCTGCATTAGGAAATTGTTATTTTAAACATATATTTAAGAAATTATATCTTGATATGAGAATCATTCTACCAATTTTAAGTTCTACTGACCTTACCGCTTGTGATTTGACCAGTAATTAATTCGAATTGTAGCTCCAAGCACTCTTAAATTCCCTCACTTCCAATAAACAAAGTGGATACTTTAAGAAATAAAGAAAAAGGAGAAAAATGAGAATACCATGTGGCAATACATAATGATTATGTTATCATATTGGTGGTTCTATTATTTGTTTTTCTTGTTCTCACTTTCAAAAAGAATTCAATTTCAGTTGTTTTCCTTCCAGGGGAATGAGCAAAACTATTTATTGCACATTCCATATACAAAGGAATGTGGGAATGAAATTGGAATCTGTTCGTAAATAGAACATGAACCTTCTAATTTTAGAAGTCTAAATTCTCATATCACATTAAAATAGCTGATGCCTTTTCACTTACTTTATCTCACATTGCAATTTGCATAAAGCAAAAGTGTATAGATCCTCATATACATATTGTTCAAAAGCATAAAAACAATGTAATTTTTAAACATTGGTCATTTCAAGGGTCAAGACAGGTTGTCCCTAACCTTAAAAGCTATTCACACTGCTTATAAATTTAATATTAATTGAATTTAAATGGTATAAACAAAGTTGAGTTCTATATTTGTGTTTTCATTAAAGAAAACCCATAAAATCTTAAGTATAAAATCTGTGTTTTTACTAAAGCATTGGCATCTATTTCTAAGACAGACCCCTGGTTCTTTTTGTTCTGTTTGTTTTGGTTTGGGGCGGGTGTGAAATTTTCAGATGTATGCCACGGTTACTAATCCTGACTGTTCATCTTCCTCACGGATGTCTGGCACATTCCACTTAAAATGCATGATACTGCATGTGCTTTCTCCTCTGCTGTGGCCTCGGCTGTGTCATTTTTTTTGCTTTCAGATGGCAGTGGGTGTGCTCGCAAACGTGCCGCCATGTCTGTTACATTAACATCTGTGAAGAGAGTTCAAAGTTCTCCAAACCTATTGGCCGCAGGTATAATATCACTAACTCACAGAATGTCACGATCAAATGACTTAATCTGACCTTTCTCTCTTTCCAGAGTTATCTTGCTTGGATGATGAAAGTAGCTGTAAATACCTTTCGAATGCCCTACAAGTTCTTATTTTTCTTGTCTCAAGAATAGCTCCTATCCCTTCTGGCTTTTTTTGTTCTGAAAATAAAAAGCCAAAGGAAACTGATATCTTAGTCAAAAAAAAGTGTTTTTTTTTTTAAAACAACAGTCACCCGCCAAAAATGTGCTGAGGAACAACTGCAAGTGTTAATAACTATTGAAGTTTTTTTTTCTCATGAACTAAATTAATATAATATTTAGTTATGATAACTCACAGGGGCTTTGTTTTTTGGGGTTTTTTTACCTAAAAACTGTTGGGGGGGTGGGTACACATGGGGGCAGGAAAAGGGATTTGCAGGAAAGTGAATTGTTATGAATTCACTTCTTTGCCAAAGGTCACAAGCAATGTGCTAAAATATTAGTTTTGAAAAAGACCTTAAAGCTTCCTTTAATCCAATCAGCAAAGACCCTTCCAATGTAAAGTTTTTAAACATCTTGGTCCAGTTAAGATTAGCGCATATCCACAGATATATATCTGTAGAAAGTAATTGGGAGTGTGATATCTCGTCGTCCACTGAGGTGCGTCTCTTTATGACCTACGCCTGTGGGTACAGTCTGCACCGAGAGGGGTTACTGCTGTGAAGGATCAAAGTGAACCCAGCAACCCCTGCGGCTGGAGGCCCTGAAATAGGCCCATACCTTCTCGTGACTAGTTGGTTGGTTGGCTGGTTGGTTAGTTGTTTTGATTGTGGGTTGGTTAGTGGAGGGTTCCTTGTTTTTTATTTATAATATCTGTGGGTTTGGGAGAAGTTGGAAAGAGATGGAGAGTGTGTAAATAATTTTAATTCACACTGTGCCTAGCAGTGTCTTTTACACACATAAATTTAGTAGTTAATTAATACTGAAGATGTCCTTGGTTAAAGCCACTTTGATCCTAAACTAGCCAGCCATGTTGAGGGAAAAAAAACACGATTTTAGGTGTAGAATTCCCACCCTTACCCACCACCACGTCCAGTTCACAAATGGATTTTGATGTACAAGTTTAAATGGATTTTGATGTACAAGTTCCATAATATGGTGCATTTTAAAAAAAACACAAACTGCACTGCAGTGTATATAGCATAATATTATTTTGGTTAAGAAAAATCTCTATATACGTACTTGTACATGTTTGTTCGTGTGTGTATGCACATGGAAATATGTTAGAAAAAATCAAATGTGGATACCTGAGGGAAATGGTAATGAAGGGAAAAAGAAAATAAACAAACAAACAAATAGATTAAATAAATAGAATTCTGAGGCCAGCAGGTAATTGGAATGCCGAACCACAAATATCATTGACATTTCAACCGAGTAAAATTCCGTCCCAAGCTATTCAGATGTGGACCATCTGAGTGGCCCGTCTAGGGAACGTGGCACTATTTCAACAGTGCCAAATTGTTATGATTTACAAAAGTAACCATGAAAGAAATAACAGTAGATTGAAATAGAGATTGCCATTCTGGAGAGTCAAAACTAGAATATCAATTTCATATCACTCAGCTTAGTGGAAAAATTTTAATGCTTCAGAATCAAAATAACAGAAAAGATTTACTACTTTAGGAAAATGAAATAATCTTCAGTAGTAAAAGTATGTAATGGCTCTGGACCGTTTAAACTTTTATATCACTTGGTGTAAGATTTCTAGAGAATGAAGTCCCCTGAACTTTGTTCGTTGTTACATGAAAAATGGATCTCTTTTGTATTCATTAGACACATAAGATATATCCCCTTTTCAAGGAAGTTTTAATGACATTTTGAAGAAAGAAATCAGCCTCTTTATGCCTCTTACATTATACGGTTCTTCACAAGAACTTACTTGACACAGTGTCTTTTTGTGAATCAAAGGGGGATTAGTAAATATTTACTACATTAGATTATTAAAATAAAACAGCCTTGAAGTAAAAGACCCCCTCCGCAAAGGATTCTCGGCTTCCCTCCGTCCCCCTCAGGTCACAAAGTCAGTATGAACTACTAGTCATCAATTATTAGTCCCTTAAATCAGTGTGTCTTTGTCAACCCGTTAGAGGTAAAGTCCGATGAACAATTCATAGCACAACCTAAGCTAAAACCACAGCAATGACTATGTTGACCATTTCATTTCACCAAAACACTCGGCAGTCTAAGATAACACTGATATGGTGGTATTGTGTTTTATACATACCCTTGGGAAATGTCATCTGTTTGTACCTCAAGTTTCCTTTCTGTAAAAAAAAAAAAAGAGAGAGAATTTGTTTGTCATTTTCCTACCTCTCTGAGAACTTAATCATTTCCCAGACTCAGAAGGATTTGTCATAAGTAAATAAGAATAAATTAAAAAAAGAAATAAAAACTCTTATCACAGTACTTAGAAATAAGTAGGCATGCAATTAGCTGACTTGAATTACTATGTTTAATTAATTCTTGGAAAGCATTTGAGCTCTTTAAAGAAAGGAGCTATAAGAATTAAAATCATCATAATTTTCAAGAAAAGTATAGTTTATAATGTCTAATATAGCATACCAGTTAAGAGGAATTTAAATAAAACCTCAGAGTAAAGATTATGATGTAACAGGTACCACAAACACAGCTACATAAAAACTGTAACGTTGGAATCATAAAATCAGAAAGGACCTCTGAGGGCATCCAGCCCAATCCCCAAACTGAGCCAGGAATGCCTTGCCAACTTCTGTGACAGGTGTCCACCACCTTTTGCCTGGAGGGGGGATGTTCATTGTACCAGTGAAGAGCTCTGATAGTTCTTAATTCTCACATACCCTATTTATATTCACATGCAAAATAGCCAGGGAATGGATAAATTTGTCCCATTTACTCATTCTTAAATTTCCAGAGAAGCAATGAGCATCAACTAAAGAATGCCAGGAATGAAAGGCTCTGATCCTTAGAATTTTCACAAGTGAACAAGCCACTGGACAAAACCATTTTCGCCATGACTCTGCCAAATCATTTACATGCTAGACTTTTTTTTTTTTTTTAACCTATATTCTCTTTACTTGCCATGGTTCCAGGATGCTTTCTGTTACCTGTTCCAAATCACACTTGTCTTCCCTTCCTAAGCTTTCTCGGCAGAAATTAAATAAAAGCAGTCTATGGTTAATAGTAGTCATGTGGGGTAGTATTTATCTTTCAGTGCCTCTGAAGGATTATAATAAAATAGCAAATCAGGACTGGATGTATTAAATATCTATAACTGGTTTTATGTTAAAGAAACAAACAGTGTATGCTTGAGTATCCTTTAAAGACCACCCACTTAAAAGTAGATTTTAATCATTAACTTAAGACTCATTAAAATATGGGTTCACCCTGAAGTTATAATCCATGGCCATTTTTCTCCCTTCTCCTTGCTCATAATTCTACACACTTGTGTCTACCATGTTAAGCAGGGCTCAGTAGAGTTCATCCTTATTTTTTTTAATTTGAGTATAGCTTTAAAAAGCTTACCATCATTAATATCCCATATTTCCGGTAGCAGAGGTACAGTTTCATTTGGAAATCCTTGGGCCCAGGACAGGGGGAGAGAGAAGCCTCTGGTGGAGCCCAAAGTGACTGTCCTCTGAGTCTCACACTTAATGTTTATCCCACTGTGGGTTTCATAATCTCCAGTGTGGTCACCAGTAAGAAGAATAAACTATCAGTTAAAGGGAGTTTATTTCAAGTGTCCTTCAAATCTGCTCAATCAATATACCTTCCTCCTCCACACCATGTCTATTCCCCGGCATATAACCACACACCCTTCTTTATGAGCTCAGTTTTATCACACTAAGAGTGAAATAAAATCCCTATTCTTAAGCAAATAATTATAATATAAATAATAATTATTCATGCTGCTTCCCTTTTCACTGCCATTCCCTCAAGTCCCAAAACGTGTTCCTTGTCCACAAACAGTATGTGACATGCAGGTGGTCATGACATCTCTCTCCCTGAGTGCCCCAAAGCAGAATTCTAATGATTGCTCCGTATTGCTACCCTGTTTATTTTCTTTATAGAATCCTCATTATTATTTAAGTGATAGAGAATTTCAATCACTTCTGCTTCCATTAAATCCCAGAAATACAGTCTAGTAAGCATTCCACATAGAACTCTTGAAAGCTATTTTTTACTTTGTGGTACCCATTTTATTACTCTGATTTTAAATTCATTAGAGATAAATTCCACACTATATTAGCTATTACCATAAAAGATGAAGATCTGTTAGTGTTCTCTAACTCACCTGAGCTGGAGACATGGTAATGTACTCTGTGCTAATTCACATTTCTTTTTCTTCCTTTGATTTGGAAAGAATATCAAATATTTTATCTAAAAGTCAAACTCTCATTTCTCAACTCATTTTTATCACTCCAAATTCATGTGTTTAGATTTCAAAATATCCCATAAACATTAGAAAGAAAACGAAGAGTCCCTTTTACATGTAACATTCATGTTCTATTAGGCATTGAAATACATCCGTTTAAGAATGGTCTCAGGGACCCTGTGGGGGGAGTCTAGGATTAGATACAAGATCAGGCTGGATGACCCCCCAAGGTCCTTTCTAAAGTTCAGGCTTTATGATTCTATGTGAAGTTGACCATGTGGTATAAAAGAACCAAGCAATACAAACCGATTGCCTCAAGTGTGCCTAAGTTACAGAAGATTCTTGAGTGTATAATTTGAATAAAACTGACAGTAAATATGTCATTGAGCCACTTTCCAACTGCATTATAAAAGCAATTTCTTAATACTGAAACTCATTTTCCACAGCTTACTGCAAGACAGTGGAATATATTGTAACATCTCTTTCATAATTGAATACAAAATGACTTTAAAATGGCAATAAGGAGGAAACTCAAAGTCTAGAGTAGAGAATGATTTGAAAATATTACATAATATGGTAGAAACAAGTACACTTCTTAAAGTATAAAAATTAAGTGCAAACTACAAAAAATCGATCACTATCTAACACAGGAGTTGAGTATGTTTAGTAACACCAGAGCACTAATAGCTAAGTATCCAGTGTTGATTTAATGCTTGAAGAAACAGTCACTGCTTACAAACCAGATACCTTTTGATCTTTTAATTTGATATGTTAAGATTCATATATGCAGCTTGAGCAATAATAAGATAGAATTACACGGTTGCAGTATTACTGAAGGAAAAATATCAGTGTTTGTCATATGTGTTAATTACATATTGTTTAATGAATGAAAATCTCATTGAAATAAAAATAAATGCACAAACCTCCCATTTAGTAGATTTGACTTACTTAGAGTTTTAGAAATGAGATAATGTTTGCAAAAAAAAAAAAAGTGGATGTGGCTTTTTGTCAAATGATCTTTACTGGATTGTTCATTGCTTTTTTGCTAGTATTAATTTCAACATTTCTTTTTCTTTTAGGGCGTGATTCTCAGTCACCAGACTCAGGTACAGAAAAGCTATTCTGAATAATCATTACATTTGTTGTGAGTTTTTAACATCCATAGTCACATTGTTGACCTCGTAGTAAACTTCAATTGCATATACCGTTATGTCTATTAAACTAAATTTAATTTCTAAAAAGAAATCTTCAATTTTAGAAATAAAAATAAATTTTACCAAAAAAATGTTAAAAGTGAATGTAGATATTTTTGTATCCAATTTGTTTTCCCTTAATAAAAGCTTGGAGATCTTACAATGATCGAAATCAAGAGACACTGAACGGAGATGCTACATATTCCTCTCTTGCAGCAAAAGGTTTTAGAAGCGTTCGCCCAAACTTACAAGAAAAAAAATCACCAACTCAGGTAATCCTGCACACTCATGTCTACTGTGTGATGTTAAAGCATGGTTATTAGACTACCGCTTTAGAGCCTCTTCTCTAGTAACAGGTGCATATTTAGATACATGTTTTATCTTTAATATGTTTTGTTTTGTATTCGTATTCCTTGCCAACCTTGTATTTACAACATAGAAGACACATTTTAAGTTCAAAACAGGCTTTGTGTGTTTTTATTTTTAATTCAGTTCGTAAAGGTAGATCACTTTCTAACATAATGATTCCAATTATTTTTTAATTCTTAAAAAGCTGTTAGCTGATGCTTTGGATTTCAAAGTTATGAGGTCAGCAATATGTTATTTATTCAATAAACATGAGTTATGCAACTGCTTATTATATTAGCTAAAAGAACTCTGTGTTGGAGATATTAGTCAAATTGTGCCCCAAATGTGAAAAGTGTTATCAAAACAATGTGACTAAATATACAGTACCTATACCTCAAAGTCTAAAAATATGCATATACCTCAAGGTCTAAAAACATGCCAAGAGAACACATGTTCATTTTTAACATATTTTTCAAGAATATAGATGGAGACAAACTTCATAATGTATTCTCTATAAAAACTATTTTCTCCCGGAGAGCAACTATTGAAAATAAATTAAAATGCATTCTAAATGGAATAAAAATGATCATTTCATCTAGCCAACAAAATGTGTAGAGTAATAAGAAGGTATGACATTGCTTTACTTTCTTTAAGGGTAATGGTTTCTATAATGGTTTCTATAATGACTAACTTTGACTTTCTCTCTGTTTTTCCTTCAACCTTATTTCTCTCTCCGGATGTTTTTGGCAATCCAGGCACCCTTTCCACCACCCAGAAAAGAGAGCTTCTGTAGCTCTTTGATAACAAATCCCACAAAGGGTGACATTTTAGACCAATTAGTAACTAACACACACACTCCTTCTTGTACAAAGTACTTCACTAACGAAAAACCTCTTGAGGGAACTATGTATTCTAATGATGACTCCAACCAGACAGTTGTATATTCAGAAGAATCTAACACAACTGTGTCATATACACAAAAAATCACTAACCCGCTACCACCAGCTGCCGGCACTGGTCCCCTACCAAATGCTGATATCAGCACCCCATTTCTACAAGAGAACTACATGCAAGATTCTCAGACTCGAAGAATTTCTACATTGAAACTAATCCATAACCAGGATCTAGGAAGTCATGTCCACTTTAATACTCCACAGTTTTCCCAATCTGTGGAAGTCCCATCATTTCTCAAAAGGCCTTGCTCACCACCCCCTAACCCAGTGCCTGAGATACACACAGCATCTCTTTCCATTCAGATAAACCCCGTTTCAGGACATGATCCTGAAAGCCACAAACAGCTACCTGAGCTTTCTCCAGAGACTACAAAGATACCTCTTCAGCAAGAGAGACAAAAATCTGCAGTTGCTGCGGCCTCTCAGTCCTCAGACTGCCGGGTGGTACATTACACTTTCCAATCTCTTCTTACAGGTGTTCAGTAGAGACCCTAACTCTTTTGGTTTGGGCTTCTTATATAACCTAATGCTTTGTAGTTCCAAGCAGGAAGGGAAAGGAGAAAGAAACCATCTTCCTCATCTTCCTCTTTAGAATCCTACTAAATTAATCAATAAATTTCTAGGTATCTTTTAATTTAAAAAAATAGTAATATATATCAATGTGTGTATACATACACACACACACACACACACACACAGATCTTTTATCCAGAAATCGTGTTCTAAAATTTTTTCCTTCTAAGTATTTATTAGAAGTCATTGATGAATTGGTTATCACTTAAGACTCTGTAAAACACTTCAGCATTCAAAGTACTTTTAAGTTTTACAGTAATATTTTTATGCCAGACCTCTGAGTACCTAGATTTATTTTATTTACACATACAAATTCTCTTAAAATAATTAGCAGGTATAATTCACTTTGGCAGGAAACATGTATCTTAATTCAACCAGCATCTATTCCTTTGTAGCTCAATATTCATTTTCACTGAACCTTGATCAATTTCTAACTCTTAAAATTTATTTCAGAAAGTATTTCATCAATCCTTAATACCCAGACAGTTAGGAAGTAATTTTTTATTTCCCTATATGTAAAGTTCTCTCATGGTGTAGTTCTGCTGACCTTTATTCGTCATTTAGAAGAGAAATGTGTTCCTCTTCTTGATTTTTGCAAAATGGCATAGTTTTAAGAGCATAAGCTTTAAGGATAAACAGATTTCAGTTCAACTCCATCCCTTCCCCCACCTATAAAGCAGAAAGCTTAAGCTTAGATAATTAAAAAGATAAATGGGTGTTTTCATACCTCTACTAAAATATCTCCTTCATCAGCTAATTGTGATATGCAAAATTAATTTCTTTGAATTAAGGTAGTATCTTTTGAAATCCCCTATGAAATATGACAACAATAATTATAATAGCAACTAACAAATACTAAGAGTTTATTGTATTCAGGCACTGTTACAATTTATTTACATTTATTAATAACTTCCACAATCCCATGAGGTAGGGAGGAAAATTGCTACAGACAGGGTTCTGCCAGTGTCAGAGAGCAAACTTAGTTGTGCCCCAGGACACCTGCTTCCAGGAAGCAGGGGAAGGAGAAGTCAGAGCAAACACCACCACATTAACAACTCAGGTTACTCATCTAGCATAGTTTGGTTCTTCTAAACGGTTTTATTATGCTTGAAAACTTAAGTTTTATAACTTCCTTTTTAGAAGTTTTGTCGCTATCCATGCTGACCAGAGAGAGTTGATTTCATTACATAATCTCCAGAGAATCAGCATGATCCACAAATTAAGATTTTTTTTTCATTCAACAGTTATTTATTGGGCATCTACTATGAGTCAAGTCTGTTCTAGTCACAGAGCTGTATTCAAAACCATTGATAATTAAAATCTTGCCAGGGAGGGGCAAGTATTAATAAAAACTTACATAAGTAGATTACCTACAACAGAAGGAGATTATGTAAATAACTAAACAATGTTAAGCAGAGATCTGGGGAGCAGAGTTCATGTTACTTAGGATTGTCAAAGACTCCTCATTGAGAAGACAGAATAGCTTTGAAGGGGGAAGCCCTTTCCTGCAAGAGAGAGCATCTAGTGTCAAGGCTTTAGAGCTGAAGTATGCTGGGGCTGCTCGAGGACCAGCAAGGAAGCCAGTGGAAAGAAGAGGGAGAAAACGAGGTGTGGAGTAAGCAGAGGTGAAGTCAGAGGCCACAGAGGCCAGATGACAGCAATCCCTGCAAGCCATTGCAGGATTTCAACCCTTATTCTCAATAAAAAATGGCAGTCATTGGGAGATTCTGAGCTGCCACATTGTTCTTTGACTCATCATCTAGTTGAATCACTCTGGCAGCTCAGTTGAGAACAAACTACAGTAGGGCAAGAAGGAGAGTAGGCAAGCCAGTCAGGTGGCTCTTGCAACCATTTAAGTGAAAAATGATGGTGGCTCGAAGCAGGGTGGAAGCAATGAAGGTGGTGAGAAATCGGATTCTGGATGTATTTTGAAAATGGAGAAAAGAGAACTTCCTAACAGACTGGCTATATGTGGGACATGAGAGAAAAAGAAGAGTTGAGATTGACTCCAAGTTGAGTCTTTGCAACTGAGAAGGATGAAATTTGCCATCCTTTGTCTATAGAGACTGAAGAACTGAGGGTAGAGCAGGTTTGAAGGAAGGATCGGAGGTTCCATTTGGGACATGGTAAGTTTGAGGTGTCTATTAGATGTCCACATAGAGAGGTCAAGTATGAAGTCCAATGTAGGAGTCTGACATTCAGGTGGAGGGTCTAGGATGGAGATATAAGCCATCAGCCTATAGATGGTTTTTGTAGGCAAGAGACTGAATGAGATCACCAAGGTGTGAGTACAAAGAAAACAGGAAGCCTGAGAACTGAGCCCAAGAGCATGGCCATAGTAAGAGGAGGAACCAGCAAAGGAGACTAAAAGGAGTGTACGCTAAGGAAGGAGGAAATCCAGGACCATGTGGCATCCTAAAAGCCCAGCTAGGAAAGTGTATGGAGAAGGGACAGTTAACTGCACAAATACTGCTGATAGGACAAGTGTACCATGAGCCCTGCTAACTTACCCTTGACTTAGTAGTGGGGACAGAGACTTTCTCAGATCGGGCTTAAGAGAGACTAGGAGAAGAACAATTGGAAAGTCATCCTTTCAAGGTGTGATTATCGTAAGCCCTTTCATCCACTTATTCCACATCCTTGAGTCTCACTCAGTCCTTCATCTGTAAAATGGGAATAATAACGGCATTCATGTCATAGCACTGGAGTGAGGTTTGAATAAGATACCATATATAAGGAATTCGGCATAGTACCTGCTACATAGTAATCCCTTAATAAGTAGTCATTGTTGTCTTTTCTTTAATAATACCCTTTTTGGGGCACCTGGGTGGCTCAGTTGGTTAAGCATCCTACTCTTGGTTTCGGCTCAGGTCATGATCTCAGGGTCCTTATATTGAGCCCCGGATCGACTCAGCACTCAGTGTGGAGTCTCCTTGAGGCTCTCTCTCCCTCTACCTCTGCCCCCGCCCCCACCCCTGCTCACACACACTCTCTCTCTCTCTCAAATAGATAAATCTTTAAAAAAAAATAAAAAATAAATTAATATCCCTTTTCCAAACTCCGTATCTGATTGGGAAAAGGAAATATATTGTTTTCAACCATACGTTTTTTATGAGTGGATTAAAGTTTATTTCATCCGGGGCACCTGGGTGGCTCAGATGGTTAAGCGTCTGCCTTCGGCTCAGGTCATGATCCCAGGGTCCTGGGATCGAGCCCCACATCGGGCTCCTGGCTCAGCAAGGAGCCTGCTTCTCCCTCTCCCTCTGCCTCTCTCCCTGCTCATGCTTTCTCTTCTCTCTCTCTGTATCTCTGTGTCTCAAATGAATAAATAAAATCCTTTAAAATTTTTTTAAATAAAAAAAAAAGTTTATTTCTCCTGACCTGCAGTTTGTTCCAAG